ACCAGTCACATTAAAGCTTTAAATAAGTTGGTTCATACAAATAAGTAACGATGAAAAATGTATTTAAATGTTTTATTTGAATTATCTAAATAATTTAAATAAATGAAGGCCCAAAGGATATATTTGATTTTTAATGTAGTGTCTCCAAAAATAAAAGTAGATTTTACTTAAACACACACAAACAAAATAAAACATTTATAAAATCTGATTTATAAAACAAAACAACTAGACTGTTTTTGTTTTTTGTGTTTGTTGGTAAAGTTTTACGTTACTCCTAAAAACAGAGGGACAAATAATTTTCTACTCACTTCCAAATACAGGTGACACTTTTGCCTCTCCTGTTGCTGCCCTAAAACAACACTTTTTACTTAAAGTAAATGTTGTTGTGGAACACAAGCTTTCACAAAGTGAACACAAGCTTTACATTAGACAGTTATTCAGTATGTGGCCAGCTTGTGTGACCTTGCTTTTAAACGTGAGTTTGATGACAGAACAGAAGAATCGATCAGCTAGCTGAACACGTGTTTAGCTCCAGCACAGGAGAAAGACCTGATTGGATAAAGCTGCTACACTGGCAACACAAACGGAATCTGCAGTTCAAAAATAAACTAAATCCATGGTCTGTCTAAGTCTCCTGCTGCAAAATGATCTAAGAACTGTTTCGGCTGTGGTTCAAACAGTCATCTAGCTAACTTTCATCAGTGTCCTGCTGCCAGAGCTACTTGTAAACTGTGTGATAAAGTTTGTCCATGTCTGCTGCTCATCCAAGACAAGAGATGTTTGGCGAATCCACCTACCAAAACTGACTACACTTTACTTAACAGACACTTTGTATTCATCAAAAAGATTAAAATGCAGCATAAATGTGAGCAGACCTACTTCCTCAGCTAAGGACATCCATCTTTTTTTTGGACACAGGCTCAGCAGTTTGTATTTTGCCTAACACATCTACAAAGAGCACTTCAGTGATACACCACTAAAACCACCTGATCTTCAACTGGTTACATGCAAAAAGAAAATAATTCCTGTGTTAGGCTGAACATCACCCTTTTAGGCAACACTGTTCTACCCCCATGTGCTGCTCCTACTGCTTCTGTGATCTCTACAAACACATCACCTGCTTCTTGCATCCCTGCTGCCCGGATATTGACTGTGTGCATAAAGTGAAACAACTCTGAAAAACAACTCTCATGCCTCCGAATGAGGCAAGATTTTCTTGTAAAAACAAGGGGGGCCTAGAAAAAAAAAGGTTTAGGAGCCACTGCTGTAGACAAACACCAGGGTCCTCTCTAACGATGGCTGCCACCCTCACATCTTACACACACACACATACAACTCTAACATGTTGCCCCATCTCACAGGCCTATGCCTTCCCTTCAAGGAGAGAGATTTATGCTCTTTTCACTGAGCTGTTGCCTCCCTTCTTCCACAGAAGAGCAGGAGGGCCCCACTCTATCTACTTACTGGAATGGCCACTGTGTGTGTTTCTGTGTAGAACACATTTGATAGAGCATAAGACACGTTTGTGAAGCTAACCTAAGTGACAAAGCGATACTACTATTGCTAAAGTGATATGGTTAAAATATGTGATCAATACATAGAATAAAGAAATTTCCACCACATGGCACAGAGAAACCTGCAGCGTTTGCTTCCTGCAAACTGTCTGCAACAGAACAAACGTTTTCTACTGTTGAAAAAGAAGCTCTTGCTGGTGTGTGGGCTGCAGAGAAAATGAGAACATATTTGTGAGGCTGATGTTTCACTCTGCAGACAGACCTCCAAGCTCTGACAACACTGCTGAGCACCAAAGGGATTCATAGGGCGAGAATGAGTATCACCCGCTGGTCTGCTGTTATTTACCGCCCAGGTTCTCTGAGTCAGACTGTCTATCTCATCTGCTTCTGCCTGTTTCTTCACATCTCACTTCATATGCAGATCTTGAAATGGTAGCTCAAATTTCTGCCATGTCGTCACTTCCAGTTGCTGATTTTCACTCTGCCTGTTCGACTTGACCTGAACTGTTTGCTTTGCGCTCACAAATACAAAGTGTTTTGTCTGCCGCAATCAAATCACTTGCACCTTATTACAACATCCATAATGAACTCTCAACTCTAAGTAATTATGTTCTCAGAGGCTCAAGGCTTGTTGCACCATGTTCAACGAGACCTAAACTGATCGCACAAAGGATTGTGAACACAAAACAAAGATTAAGAGACTTCTACTGGTGGCATCGACTGACTCCTACTCCAAATGGCCAGAGCTTGCCTTTTCATGTTCTGCTAATACTACTGATGTTATTCAGTTTATCTCATCTGTCTTTAGTTCTCACAGCAACCCAGAGAACATTGTAAGAGACAACGGTACACAGTTTACCTCTGAATTGTTCACCTCATTCCTCCAAAATAGAGGCATCTCACAGCAGAACATCTGTCTACTACCCAGCTCCAAATGAAGCAATTGAACAGTTTCATCGTGAACCTCTGCACCTGCATCCAGACATCAATCCAGCAGTCACAGCCATGGAAGCAGACTGTGTTGGATTGGCTTCAAGTTTACTGTACAACACTGCATGAGACAACTTCCATCTCTCCCTATGAACTCCTGCATGGCAGAAAGATGCAGCCTGAACTGGACATACTACCTTTGCCTCCTGCTGTAAGAAATATCAGCTGAAGAGGCAACGTTACACTGATGCTAAGCATCAAGTATGGAAGCCATCTGACAGGAGAGAGAGTGAGGATGAGGAAACCACATCATTCTGTTAAAGGACCCCAAATTTACTCCTCCTGACCTGATAGCACGCAACTTAAGTTTTTAAGTTAAATAAATAAATAAATGAAGTGAATGAACAGTCAACATATTCCTAAATAAAACATAAACAAAGAACGAGGTTGCCACGTTCTTCGGTCATTTTGCTGTTCAGTTATGTCCTACAGCAACTACGACAACATTTGTAGACGAGTTCCTGAATTTATGTTTCAAATCTATGAGGCACCGTCTGGAAAATAATTGAAAATAAACACCTTCAAGCACGGAGAATACAACAGAATAAAGATTGTTGTCAATAAATGACAGTTAATCACAGCATCACTGCAAACAGCAGATAAATCAGCCTAAGAAATTATAATCAGTACAGCTCTGCTTATTTTCAATGAATTATATAAAATCAGAATTTCTGAATTTTTCTTCAGAGTGTTTCGGTCACCAGAGAAAGAAATCTGATTAAACATGGCAGTCATGTAAAGGCAGGAAGTTAGTGTATAAAAAATGAACCTGTTGGTTTCTGGAATCGAGCTCATTTCTCAGTCTCTCCATTTCTCTCTCCATCTTCTGTCTCTCTTCCTGGACTTGACTGATGTTTCCAGAAAGCTGCAATTAAAGAGAAACAAAGACAGAGAAGACAAAAGTAAGTTTTTATGTTTTTTGTTATAACATGTGAGTGATTACACAGAGTCAACAAATTAATTACTATATGGAATCAGAAGAATGGAGAACCTAAAGAAACAACTGTATTTAAATTTCATTATAAGTAAATTAAGCTTTGTCTTAAATTGAGAGTTTTCATATGAGAAGCAAGTATGTGTGACAACAACACACACTGTTTCAATGAGGTCAACAAATCTCTCTGTACATTTTCAACCAACAACAACACCCTGCAATAACAAACAGTCTTCACCCTGATGAGAAAACACTGAATCTCAGAGTGACTGATGTCTGTAAAACTCTGAGGAGAGTGAGTGTATGAAAGGCAGCAGGACAACATTCAAGGACGAGTACTCAGAGAGTGCTGAGCAGCTAGCACACGTCCTCACAGACATCTTTAACACCTCGCTGCAGCAGAATGTTGTTCCATCATGTTTCAAGTCTGTCACCATAACTCCAGCGCCCAAAAAATCCACCATCATGCGTTTTGCCCTTTGCATTAATAATGAAGTCCTTGTAGAGTCCCTTCCACATCAGTCTTTGGCCAAACGGTTCCACAGAGCGATGTCCTCTGCTCGTTACCTGAGCTTTACGAGAACAGTCACGTATGAATGCTGTTTGTTGGTTGATCGTCCCCCAGGAGGTGGTGAGAAAACTGACCCCTCCCACAGGTATCAGCACCCCCATGTGTATCTGGCTGCTGGTCTTCCTCACTGACAGAACTCACTCTGTGAGAGTGCAACTCCACCTGTCTCTACATTGTTTACTGAGCCCGCTGCTTTTCACGCTGCTGACACATGACTGCAGCGCTGCAACTTCCTCTAATTCGCATGATTAGGAACGCAAATGACACAACAGTAGTGGGTCTCATTATGGACAACACAGATCTGTCCTATAGAGACTTCCTGAATGTCAAGAAGTCCAAGAACTTGATCATCAACTTCAGGACCAAACAGTCCAGTCATTCACCACTAATCACTGACAACAGAGCTGTGGAGGTCGTCAGCAGGGTCAACTTTCTGGGGGTACAGATAACTAAGAAGTTAGACTGGTCACCAAACACATCAGCTCTGGTTAAACAGTCTCAGCAGTGTCTGAGCTTCCTGCTTCCTTCCAGGACTTCTCTTCCATCCATCCAGGAAGTCGAGCACAGATGCTGTCTCAGCAGAGTCCATAGCATCATCAGAGACTCCGCCCACCCCCATCATGCACTGTTCTACCTGCTGCCCTCTGGAAAGAGGTTTAGCAGCATCAGGACCAGGACAGCCAGATGTTACAATAGTTTCATTCTCCAACCATCAGCACACCAACCACCCACCCTGACTGCCTCCCCCCTCCCCTCTGTCCCCCATGACTCTATATTTACAGCAGTTTCATTTCATGGCTGAATGATGATTGTACACTTTTCTGCTGCTGTTCGATATATTAAAGATCCTGCGCAGCTTTTCTTTGCCAATAAAAATATTTCATAATCCTGATAACATTTCTTTTCCTATATTGTTACACGTTTATCCAAGACTCATTTTTATATTTGAAACCTTTAGACTTATTTTTATTGATTTATTTATATTCTACAGTCTGATGACGAGTAAATGCACCACAATTTCATCCTGATGTGCACCAACTGTTCTGAATGACAATAAAGTGGTGATTCTGTTCCATGCTGATAGCTTTATACAAAGAGATTAAATCAAAGCTATTTTATGTAAATATAAGTGAGCTGATGTAGCCTGATGTTAACAACATGAAGTGTTGTGGGACGATCTGAAAAATGTGTATAAGGTGGATTTATAAGTGCTTTTGTGGTCAATGATACAGAAACTGCAACAATGGAAGGAAACACACATGTGTGTGATTACACAATACAATCACACATTCATACATAAGAAATAATAAATTAAGTTCTATATAGAATTAAGAGCCTGCTATGATATCAATTACAAAACTATGATCCCAAAGAAACACATTCATTTGCATTTCGTTATTAGTTCATAATTAATTGAGTATTTTAAATTAACAGTGTTGATATCAATGAAAAAAGGAAGATGATGAGTTTCTGCATGTCAGCACTTTCTTTGGATGTAAACATGAATTATAATTTTGTTCAATATATAGAAACAGTTACTTTTATAGACATTTGGTGTCAAATAAACAAAATAAAAGAATTTTGGTGTCTTGTGTTGGTCAGTAAAGCATCAGTGTCAGAATTAAATGTAAAAACATAAAAGCATTTTTTGTCTTTTGCCTTTGTTTCATCGTCCCTACGCATGCTCAATCATCCAGGTGAGTTTTCAGTGGGAGAAACCTTTGGTCACTCATCCAAGTGACTCTTCAGTCTCAGCTGACTGCAGGTTTCCCCAAATCTTATAAACAGTACATTTGCATAATTTGCACCACTGAAGGAACAATGGGCTGTGAGGTCAGATCCTTGATCAACATCATCATGTTTAAGGAACACGTCTGCTCAGTGACAAATAGTTGGAGATCAACATATTCCTAAATAAAAAATAAAGAGACAAATAAATGAAGACCCTAAGGAAATATTTGAGTTTTAATGTCGTGTCTCCCAAAATAAAAGTGATTTTTGGTTAAATAAATAAATGCACAAAATATAACATTTATCAAGTCTGATTTATAAAATGAAGAAAAGATTAAAATATTGAGTTTTTTTAGCTTTTACTTGAGTGCAGCTGGATGTCAGTGTCACTAAAGGGTGTTTGGTGTCTTGTGTTGGTCAGTAAAGCATCAGTGTCAGAATTAAATGTAAAAACATAAAAGCATTTTTTGTCTTTTGCCTTTGTTTCATCGTCCCTACGCATGCTCAATCATCCAGGTAAGTTTTAGTGGGAGAAACCTTTGGTCACTCATCCAAGTGACTCTTCAGTCTCAGCTGACTGCAGGTTTCCCCAAATCTTATAAACAGTACATTTGCATAATGACTAATACGAGCACCACTGAAGGAACAATGGGCTGTGAGGTCAGATCCTTGATCAACATCATCATGTTTAAGGAACACGTCTGCTCAGTGACAAATAGTTGGAGATCAACATATTCCTAAATAAAAAATAAACAAAGAACGAGGTTGCCACGTTCTTCGGTCATTTTGCTGTTCAGTTATGTCCTACAGCAACTACGACAACATTTGTAGACGAGTTCCTGAATTTATGTTTCAAATCTATGAGGCACCGCCTGGAAAATAAATGAAAATAAACACCTTCAAGCACGGAGAATACAACAGAATAAAGATTGTTGTCAATAAATGACAGTTAATCACAGCATCACTGCAAACAGCAGATAAATCAGCCTAAGAAATTATAATCAGTACAGCTCTGCTTATTTTCAATGAATTATATAAAATCAGAATTTCTGAATTTTTCTTCAGAGTGTTTCGATCACCAGAGAAAGAAATCTGATTAAACATGGCAGTCATGTAAATGCAGGAAGTTAGTGTATAAAAAATGAACCTGTTGGTTTCTGGAATCGAGCTCATTTCTCAGTCTCTTCCATTTCTCTCTCCATCTTCGTTCTTCTCTGTTCTCGGCTTGACTGATGTTTCCAGAAAGCTGCAATAAAAGAGAAACAAGGAAGAGAGAAGACAAAAGTAATTTTTATGTTTTTTGTTATAACATGTGAGTGATTACACAGAGTCAACAAATTAATTACTATATGGAATCACAAGTTTGATATGATATAAACTGAAGAATGGAGAACCTGAAGAAACAACTGTATTTAAATTTCATTATAGAAGTATTAATTAAGCTTTGTCTTAAATTAAGAGTTTTCATATGAGAAGCAAGTATGTGTGACAACAACACACACTGTTTCAATGAGGTCAACAAATTTCTCTGTACATTTTCAACCAACAACAACACCCTGCAATAACAGACAGTCTTCACCCTGATGAGAAAACACTGAATCTCAGAGTGACTGATGTCTGTAAAACTCTGAGGAGAGTGAGTGTATGAAAGGCAGCAGGACAACATTCAAGGACGAGTCCTCAGAGAGTGCTGAGCAGCTAGCACACGTCCTTACAGACATCTTTAACACCTCGCTGCAGCAGAATGTTGTTCCATCATGTTTCAAGTCTGTCACCATAACTCCAGCGCCCAAAAAATCCACCATCATGGTTTTGCCCTTTGCATTAACTCCCTTAATAATGAAGTCCTTGTAGAGTCCCTTCCACATCAGTCTTTGGCCAAACGGCTCCACAGAGCGATGTCCTCTGCTCGTTACCTGAGCTTTACGAGAACAGTCACGTATGAATGCTGTTTGTTGGTTGATCGTCCCCCAGGAGGTGGTGAGAAAACTGACCCCTCCCACAGGCATCAACACCCCCATGTGTATCTAGCTGCTGGTCTTCCTCACTGACAGAACTCACTCGTGAGAGTGGGAAACAGCATCTTCACTCCACCTGCCAGATGTTAC